ACCGATAGCCTGACAATCATTCTCACAATGGCTTCCAATGCCTGTCATTAAAAAACGTAAAAGGATAATATTATTTCGCGAAGTATATGTTTTCAAGCATAATAATAGATTCAAATTATCAATTAATTGATAATTACACTTAAAAAATTTCAAAGTTGTGATTACAATATTAGTTACGAACTGTTCAGAAGCTAAACGAAACTACAATTTGGTAATTAAGGTATCGCGAATTATTGAGATTGGTATTAGCATTATTACTTTTTCGGCCTCTGTTACGCGAATAACCCTTCTAATGAATCGTGTCACTTTACTCAATAATTTCGCTAACATATAATTAGCAAGTTCATTTCGCAGAGAGCCTTTTATCGACAACGGTTTCCTATCTAATCGATCAGATCAATTGGTTCCATTTCTATTTTCAGATACCAACGTAATGGTTACCAACAAAGTGATCATTATACATGATTATCAGGTATTTGAATTATTAATAGCGAGTTCGGTGTTTTTTTTAATCTTTGGTTAAATAATTGTTGCTTTCGTACATTTTGCAATTCAAACTTTAATTGTAGATGTATAAACGTGACGATCGACCAAAATAGTAAACGTAAAAAACAAACAAAATCCGTTTTGAAAAATCGGCTCTTGTCTCAAGAATTTGCGCAATTTGTATTATATATATATAGTAACAGTTTTTCGCAAGCTCTAACCTTGACTTGAACGAAACTAATATGATTATCATATGTCCGGACAAATTCCCCTGCATGCAGGTTTTTCCTCGCGCAAGCTATGCATTTATGGTATAGTATAGAACTTTGTGGGTACACTTGACCCTCGTTTAATAAAGTAATATCCGCCTTTTATAGTTTAGGTTGAGATTAATGAAGTGTGTATAGTTGCCTGTATAGCATAGTGCAGAAAATAGTATACCCGAATATACATTGCGTGGGTATAAATTTTTCTGTACCAACGAAATTATTTCGTGTCCATACGTACGTATTATAAAAACGTAGCTCTTTGCGTAGCTATCTGCAATTGTCATAAATATATCTACACAGTGACGACTATACAAGTGTACGGGTGTGAAATGAAAGTATATAAAATAAATATGTACTTTAATGCAGTAAAAAAAAATTGAATGTTATCGCAACATACGTCCGGATACACTACCAATAAGGTATAGTCTAACATTAGCGTTAGACCTAGATAGAATTTAGATAATCCGGGTAATCTAAAAATACACAATACCCGGATTTTTGAATACGATTTTCGTGAAAATCGTAAGGATCAGCATTGTCTCATATTTAAGGGTTATACAAACGATTAAGTTAAGAGTATTTAAAGAAAAATTAAATTGGTCTTAAAACTTACTAACTAAAAATAGACTTAAAATTTTATATATAAAGAAAAAGAATAAAGAAAACAAACAAAAAAAGTTTATCGGACAATCAAAAGCGCAAAAAAAAATAGTACGTATCTCTGGATGAGAGTTCTTTTTTTTTTGTGGCTTAGGCGAAATGAGGCTGTTAATTTAAAAAAGATTTCTTCACATACGCTTAATATAATATAAAAAAAACGTGATTGTTTTTTATATTAAGATTTATTGTATACCTAATACTGTAAATCATTTAAATCAAATTACGCCAATTACGCAACTAACCTACTGATCTTGGCTTAATGTTTGTCGATCATTCAATCTGAGCGATTCATGAGCATTCTATGATGGAAGTGTTCTATTAGTTATAGATGGTTGCGCCTTTTGCTTGGCTCATAATAAATACTGTATATAACATAACAGGTAAAATAAATTATTTAACTCTCCTACCTAAAGCAATTTCAAAGCGGGAATTAATTGAAACTGTAAATAAGAAAAAAGAAAATTATCGTACAGGGATAACATTTTTGTGTCATCATACCGGGTACGTATACCAAGAATCGTGAATACAAGTATTTGTTTATATAACAAATGGACCAACCGCAAAATTTAAGGAGGTCGCACTCAAAATGTTTTCAAACCTTTAAATATTTCCCGTTTTCCCATCCTTTTGTTAAAAAATTGTCCCCAGTAATGACGGTTTCTGGCCGGCATATGCATTTTATGATAGGGTCCCTCCCGGGACCAATTACGTAAGCGTTAAGTTCTTCTTTCTGTCAAAAAATAAAAAACATTCAGCACATATGTTATAATACATTTTGTTAATATTAATAATTATGCGCTTATCACAGTTTCAAATATCAACTAGAAGTTTCCCAAGAACCTATACGAGCAAGGATGTGTGGTTTCGGAGACAAAGATCGTCGTACTATTGACCCTCCTCCAATTATCAAACTACTCGTAACAACATTAGATGGAACACCCGTACCTGAAAGGTAAAGTTTTACCTAACAGTGAATATTTTTGTGAGTATAAACCTCGATTGCTAAATCACTGTCACCAAAAAAACTTCCAAATTGATCGCATTATAAAAATCGAATGTACAGCTCCGTCGACTATTCTATGATGATCGTTCACGCCGGCCTGTGGTCTAGAGATTGCAAAGAAGAACGTGGATTAGTAGTTAATCCTACTTCCGTGTTTACTAAATCTGCTAATTCTAACTCAGCTGTCATGTCCGTGAATGCACCCTTGAATACTCGGAATCTCATGGGTCATTGCACATCTTCCGCATATGTGCTTAATAACCATGCTGGTCAAAAGGGAATTTATTTTATATTTCAAGACCTTTCTGTTCGAACGGAAGGTACCTTTACCCTAAAATTCTCGTTTTGTAACATCAAAGAATTAATGGCTCAGTAAGTTATCTGTAATACGTAATGATTTTTATTTTTCTTCTCAAAAGATTAACTAAAATTATAATAATCAGATCCTCTGACGGATTAACAAATGCCAGTGGGAACGTTACAGCTGAAGTGTACAGTGCGCCTTTTAAGGTTTATTCTGCAAAGAAATTTCCAGGAATGACAGGTATGGAGATATTTTTACCTCAGGTCCGAGTTTGTTATTATTCAACTCTGGCTTGGTAATGTGCTATGATAAATAAGTAAGTTAGTATTAATGCTTCATGTTAGAATCAACTGAGCTTTCTAAAGCTTTCGCCAAACAAGGAATTAAAATTCCGATTCGTAAGGATGCATATTATAGGAAAGTCTGCAATAACAATTTGCACAAACAACCCAATGTAGTAGACGTTCCTAAGACAACAATTGAGGTACTTGAAATCTCTAGCAGTAATTCTGAGGATACTGAGCATTCTGATGAAAATGATGAAATACGAGATTACTCTGATTTACGGGGATATGAAAGTAAAGATATATTTGTTGAAAAGCGGTTACGTAAATCGAAATGAATATGCCTAAATATTTTATCACAAAAAAATTCTTTATTTCTCTCAAAGATTATGTTTTAATAATTACATTTATGTAGATATGTTTATAAGCGTAATCCAAGTATGAAATTTGTTTTTTTTTGGTTTGTTTTGTTTTGTTTACTTTTTTTCGAGTATCTCTACTTCATTCCACGTGTTTCTTGTCTATATTTACCAAATCCCGTGTATTTATTTGTCGAGTCAATCGTCGAGTGTGTCATGTTAGGCTAATGCAGTGTGCATATGCTTTAATAATTGACAATATCGACGTATCGACGTATAGTTCAATATATTTTATGTATTGAGCTTATGTTATTTATATCTTGTTACCTTAGAAAATGATTGAATTAAATTTCTTCAATCTTATTTACATTCTAAGTTCATGTTTATTTCTATTTATGTTTAATATAAATATGTTAATATAAATATAAAATATGTTTAATATAAATATGTTTATGATTAAAATAAATTAAAAATAATTGCCGCAAAAAAATTTATAGAAATTCCAAAAAAAGATAAGATATTTGATTGCATTTTCTTAGCAGGCTTATCGTGTGGTTTTAACCATTTTAAGTCATATCCAATCCAGGTGGTCATAACGTAATAATAAGTTGTGTCATAATAGGTCATAAGGTCATGATTTATATTTAGCCAATATCCGTGCTAATTAATAGCAAATATTGCTTTGCTGATCCACGTAATACGTGACATATTCCAGCCTCTATGTGGATAAGGTTAGTTTTTTCAGGGGCTTTTAGTAACGTTATCTCAAAATTAGTTCATCTGATCAAATCATTAATTATTGTCGCACTTCGTTGGTGGTTTGGCTTAGAATCTACTAGTCTACAAAGCTAAGCTTAATAGTTCTATAAGGCTGTGTGCATGCGCGTGTCAATGGCACCTGTTTGTGTTATAAGAATTTTTATTTGCGTTATTGCAAAAATTTGTAATAATTTGCAATAAGAAATTAACTTATATATTAAATGATGCGTGAGAGTAAAAACCTGCAGCTGCATATTAATTTATTTACAATAAATTCATCACACACACTATCCGACATTATTAGCCAATCAAATTTATAGAATGTCACGTGAATTTTACCCTTAAAAATTTGGGTTATACCTATATCCAAATTTTTACGGGTCTCTGGGCAGTGTTACAGGCTTAGATCCCGGGAACACTTGTTGTTTAATAACAAAATTGATTCTATAAAAAAATTCGCGATGATTTCTCAATAACTACCTATTTATATTCAGCAAAAATATTTTTATTTTAATTCTATAGCATTGTAAAATTAAAATAAAAAAATGTTATTTAAATTGGAAGTTCTAAAATATCTTGGAAAAAGGCCAGTAAATTTTTCCTTGAACTTTAAATGATAACCAACTATTAAATTTGAATAGCTGGTTGTTGATAAATATTCATTAAAGTTAAAAAAAAAAACTTTAGCAGAAGCTTCTTTTTATGAAAATTTTTTATTATAGTTCTGTGAGCATATAGAATTAAAATAAAAAAATTTGATCGAATTTAACCAGGTAAGTGCCGAGTAATCTTCGTTCAAGATTTGATGCCTAAAAAAAAAAGAGTTACGAACAAATTTTTATGAATATTTCTCGACAACCAGCTATTCAAATTCGATAAATATTTTTTATTTAATTCCATGAACCCACAGAATCAAAATAAAAAAATTCATCAAATTTGGATAGCTGGTTGTCGAGAAATCTTTATTTAAAGTTTAAATAATAATTTTGTTGCACCATTTCTTTTTTTAAATTTTTTTTAAAAAATTTCAAATGAAGATACCTCAACAACCACTATTCGAAATGGTTCATTTTAACCATATGGGTTCATGGAATTAAAATAAAAAAATTAATCAATTTGAATAGCTGGTTGTTGAGAAATACAGTATTTATTAAAAGTTAGAAAAAACAATTTGGCTATATCTTTGTTCAAACTTTGAATGAAGATTACTCGATATTTATCAAGTCAAAATTGATTAATCTTGCTTTATTTTAATTCTATATACTTATAAAATTCAAATAAAAATTTTTTTATCTAATTTAACTATGTAAGTGTTGAGTAATATTATTCAAAATTTAGATGTCTTTAAAAAAAAAAGCTGCAGCCAAATTTTTTAAACTTTTAATAAATACTATATTTCTCAACAACCAGCTATTCAAATTCAATAAAAATATTTTTATAAATTTAGAGCTCCAATCCGAATGTATCAATCATCCATTTATCCAATAAGCTTTATCCGGATATCCGTTTTTTTAATTCGGATATCCGAACGGATTAACCGAATTATCCGATCAGAATCACATGATTTTGGTACCATTCGATTCGCCTTGATGAGACGAATCGAATGGTACCAAATCATGTGATTCTGATCAATAATTCGTGAAATAATTAGTCCTTTTGGCAAATTATATTATTTGTCAATTTTCGTCCAAACTCAACTTCGATGTTTGAAAAAAATTTTTTTTGTCAATTTTTGTCCAGACTCAACTTTGACGTTTGAAAATGTAATTAAGCAAGTGCTAACTTTAAGTACAACAGTGTTACTGTTTACTTGGAGAGCTCTATGTTTTAATAGGCCGTCTGAACTCAGGTAAGTAGATATTCTTTAAGGATACATGTTATTTAACCGACAATCACTTCACAGACAGCTTAGTTCACAAACAATTAACTCACAGACAAATTTATTTCACCGATAATTGTTTCACTGACAACTCATATCACTGAAAAATATTTTTTATAAATTACACCAAACTTAGCTCTAATTCTAACCTGACACTAACAACAATGAACAGAATTACTTTGTCGGTGAAATGTTGGCGGAGAAATAATTGTCAGTGAAATGAACTTGTTTGTGAATTAATTGTCGGTGAACTAAGCTGTCAGTGAAGTGATTGTCGACAAAATGCGCACCACCCATTCTTTAATATATTAGGTAATTGGCACTTGAATCATTGTTTAAA